TTAAAATCATGCTAATTTTGAAAACTGACAACAGAAAAGTGAAAACACCTTTTTTCTTATTTCCTGTTTTTGGTTTTTTGTTTTCATAAAAACTAAAAACTTTAAACAAAAAAACAATGCCAAACAAGACCCAATTAAAAACCCAAATTAGCATACCGCAATTAAAACCCCAAATTAGCATACCCCAATTAAAACTCCAACTTAGCATACCTGAAATCTTGCCAATTTCAATGCGAAAGTAAAGTATCTTGTCTTCGATCGCGGAAGCGATTGTGGGATATAAATTCGAATCAATTTCGAAATATCTTAGAAAAGATGGATTCATTAAACAAGAAATTTGGTGAGTTGAGCTATTCATACCTCCAGCTTAATGACAATATGCTTATTATGAAAAAGAGTGTATGTATGTAGCTTTAATTCTTCTGGTAATGTTGATATTCGACCTTTGTTTGAGCTTTTCATTGCCTCTGTCATTCGAAGGAGACAACAGGGGGCTTAGACAATAATTTTGGCGTTAACAGTTCACAGGGCGTTTGGCAAATGGGATTGAGAATTTGGGGAATATAGGGTGGGAGTGGGAATGAGAATTAATACGTGGAAATTCATGAAATAATCCCAATTTTTTATTTGGCATATTTTGGAAATAAGATTGAGATATTTTAAATCCTATATCTAGTATGTGGGAATAATAGAGGGTTTAAAAGAAAAATTTACAAAATTGCCCTTTTATTATCATATGCCACAAAAATACGGAGTATATGCCCCAAACAAGGGTAGTATTGTCTTTTTAACAATTTAGTGAATTCCCCCCAAAATATTACTTGCCACCCCCAAGTAATAAAAGTAGGGAATACAAGTTAATTATTCCCAAGCCCATTCCCATTTTATATTAATTCCCACCAACCAAACATGAGTTTACAAAGATTAGAGATTATTATTCTCATTCCCAACCCATAAACCCACTTACCAAACAGCCCGTCATTGTTGAACAAAGTGGGAATAAAAGCATATGAATTTCCTTGGAGGGGGTATGGGTGTGGGAGTGGGGCTGCTTTAAAGGGGTGGGGGTTTTGGAAGGGGTTGCTGTGAATGGGGCTGTCAGGAATAGGTGTGGTTTATGATTGAAGTTCATGGAGTGAAGAAGAAAATGGAAGAAGGTAATTTAATGGGCCCCACAAACGAAAATGTTAACAATTTTATTTTTTATTTTTTATTTTTTTTTTGTTTTTGGATGGTGGTAAAATAAAATAAAATTTTACTCCCTCCGTCCCAAAAAGAACGACCCATTTGGGTTGATTACGCGGATATTAAGGAAGTTAAGTAAAAAGAAGTAAAAGTATATTGGAAAGATAAATTTACATGGGGTTTGTAAAAAAATAGAGAGAGAAAGTTATAAAATAACATGGAAAATCAAAATTTTATATGGGGAAGCTAATTTTGCACAAATATTGTTGCAAATTGGTGGTGTTTTAATGCAAATGGGTCATTCTTTTTGGGACAAAGTTTTGGCCAAATGAGTCGTTCTTTTTGGGACGGAGGGAGTAGATGGGTAGTAAAAATCAAAGTAGTGTATTTTAATGGTAGCAAAATTCAAAATTTCTTAAAATAAATAAAGTTAAAAAATAAAATTAAAATAAATAAATAAAATTAAAAAACACCTTATCTCTCCTCCTTCCTCCCCCATTGCCTTCTCTGGTTCCCCACCACGACCACCACCAACCAGCCAGTAGTCCACGACGCCGGCATCACTACCTCCCCTTCCCCCCCTCTGTATCGCCGCCTCCCTGCCCACCTTCCCGCTTCCTCTTCCGTGCGCACTTCACGCACTCAACAGAGCCGACCTGCAACTCTACCAACAATAGCCCGCTGCCACCACGTCTAGCTCAACCCCTTTCCCCCCGAGCGCCGGTGCTTCCCCGACCACCTTCCTGTTCCTCTTCAATCACCATGCAAACCAGCCAAAATCCCCCAAATCCCAAACCATAACCCTAACATTCGAAATCAACCACGAAATTAGCGACAAAATCAACCACAAAATCGGCGCGAGAGAAGAGAGGTTGATGGAGGCCTGTTTGGGTGCGGTCATTTGGTGATTGCCGCGCTTTGGGGAAAGTGGGTTGGCTGGCTGCAGCTATCGTTGGGTGGCATTGTTTTTGATTTTATTTTTGTTTTTTTTTATTCTTAATATTTTATTTTGATTTTTTTTCTACTTTTTAACCAATCCGGTTGTGACATGTGTGCAAGTAATCCCAAGTCAGCAAGGTTTACCTCTTCAACCGGTTTCAAGTCACTTGGGGGCGATAAAAATTAATAGGGTGCAAAGTTGAGAGTGATAGGGAATAAACTAAAGTTGAGATTAATATTAGCAGATGAGTCAAAGTTTGAATTACACTACAAGAATACGCGTGTTTACCGATGGAAAATACCGATGGCCACTAAAATCCATCGGTAAAAATATTATTTCCGATGGTTTTCATCCATCGGTAAAATCTTATTTTTTAAAAGAAAATTAATTTTTTTTACCGATGGTTAAAAGCCATCGGTAAAATAAAAATACCGATGGCTTTATACCATCGGTATTTTCTTAAAATAATAAAAAAAAATTAGAGGAAACCCTTTATTCTTTCACTTTCTCTTTCTTCCTCCGCCCCCTTTCATTTTCTCTTTCTTCCTCCTTCATTCACGCTTCTCCTCTTCTTCTTCTCTCTCCTCTTCTATCTCCTCTATCCTCTCATTCTTTCTTCTCTCTCCTCTTCTTCTCTCTTCTATCTTCACCTTTAATTTTCCTCTTCTCCTTCTCTTCTCTGACTTTCCTCCTCCCTTCTCTGCACAATTTTTTAGGGTTACCACCATCACCGTCACGAGGTTACGGTTTTTTTGGTCAAACTCGACCATGAAAATTCCAGATCTAGAATTTTCATGGTCGAGTTTAGCCATTTAAACCCAAAAAAGAAGAAATTTGAAAGGTATGTGGATTTTTTGTTTAATTTTGTAAGTTAATTTTTTTTGTGGATTTATTTGTGTGGTTTTTGTGGGTTTAATTTTCTACCATTTTCGTGGTGTATTTGTTGAATTTCGTGTGTTTGTTGTTTTTTAACTTAAATTTTCATCAATGTTTGATTTTTTGTTTATTTTTCTGGTTTCTTTGGGGGTTGATTTTTGTGGGTTGTTTAGTGTTGATTTTTAGGGTGTTTCGGGTGGTGGTTGGTGGTGTTGAGTGGTTTACGGCGGTGGTGGTAGGTGGAACAGGGTTGTGGTGATGGTTGGCGGTGCTTAGTGGCTTACGGCGGCGGTGTTGGGTGGGTAGGCAAGGGGTGGGTGTAGGCAGGGCCGTACGCAGGGGGGGTGGGTAGGCAGGGGCCGTAGGCAGGGGGTGGGTAGGCAGGGCCGTACGCAGGGGGGTGGGTAGGCAGGGGTTTTAATTTTTTTTTTATTTTTTTTTAATAAAATTACCGATGGCCAAAAGCCATCGGTGATCCAAATATACCGATGGCTTTGACCATCGGGAACAAAACACCGATGGCTTTTGCCATCGGGATTTAAAAAGGCTCCGACAGTTCGTAACCATCGGTAAAACCATCGGTATTAAGTTTACCGATGGTTTTTCCATCGGTATTTTTGATTTTCCCGACGTATTATAATCCGATGGTTTTTTACCGATGGCAGCCATTGGTAAATGATGTACCGATGGTTTTTTACAATTTTACCGATGGATTTTGGCCATCGGTAAATGGATCATTTCTAGTAGTGTTAATGGTGACAATTTTTCCTTTTAATAATATCCATTTTTTATAATTTTACAATGTCGAGAATTAGAGATATTAATCGTTAAAAAAGTGTGTTGGCAAGCATGATAATAGCATGGTGTTAACTTAATAAAAACTGAGGCTCGAACGTTGAACTGGGTTAGTTCTGTAAAATATAATGTTAATAAAATTAAAGAGAATAACTCTCCATTGTCTTAGCTTGGAATTGTTGGGGCTAATACTCTTTATTCATTTCTTCAAGCTACATTATTATTATTTTATGTGTGTATATATAGAATGAACATATATTACTATTGGCTAAGATGGTCGGAAGTATGATCTTATATCCACTAGCTTCAATTAAAGATGGGCAACCGGCCGTGCCGTGCCGTCGCGGGCTGTGCCGCGGTGGTGGGCATGCCGTGTTGTGCCAAAATTTGGCACACCCCAGCCCACGATACGGCCCACGTGCTTGGAGGGTCGTGCTTTACCGGGTCGCGTGCACGTATATATATACATATATATATATATATACATATATATATATATATACATATATATATATATATATATATATATATATATATATATATATATATATAGTACAACTTAATTTTATATAAATAATGTTATTAATTTATGTTTATGTTAATGTTAATATATTTTGTTTTGAACAACTTTATTTTAATTAATGTTATATAAATTATTTATCTAATTATGTTTAAGTTTATATAAATAATTTTATTAATTTAGCAAAAAACAACATTGTATATAATAAAAAAAATTACGAGTGCGATAAGCCAAAAAATAAAAAATAACTTATTTTATTATATGCCGGTAGCCGGTACGATAAATCGATAATACAAATAATTAATGATAATTAAAAATCGTACAATAATTGGTGAATAAGTTCATTTATTATACGGAATAATTAATAACTTCGTTTATGTTAATGTTAATGCCGTGCCGGCGTGCCGACCACCGTGCCTGTGCCGAATCCACAATCTGCGTTAACAGCACGGCCCACGACCCAAGGTGGGCCGCCGGGCCGTGCCGGGCACGTGCCGCCGACGTGCCTCGCATGGGTCCTATACTAGTTTTAAAGTAATTTCATATATGAATGAATTTATTATTTTGTATTACGGAGTACCTTTATTTTTAATCAAAATTTATTAATATTTTAGGTTATTTGTTTATGAAAGAAAATAAACGCCAAATAAATAGGAATATAATTGTTATAAAGATATAAAAGAGTTGAAGTAAAATTATTACAATATTTTTCGTTCCTAAAAAAAATAAAAAATATTATTTTAGTTCTATTATACAGATATATTCTACAAAAAGTTGTCTAAAAAGAAGGGGGAGGGAAAAAATAGCACTTGAATGTGACATGTTTCACTCTCGCTGGGTGTTTTAGTATTAAGTTATTGATATATTTTTGAAACAAAGCCACCGTGGCCTTAACTTTCATTCATAGGAAGATCTTGTTGAAGAAGTTACGATGCTCCGAGGATAATCAGACAACCAAATTGTACTACTAGTTCCCCTAGCACACAATGCGCTAGTTCATGGACAACCTTATTTCCTTCCTATGAACAAAGCTCCAAGAAACCGACTATAACAAGTTACAAACATGATAAATATCATCAAAAATAATATGAAAGCTGTTGTTATATAATTTTGAATTTTTAATGTTATCTAAATTGGTAGATAATTATCATATGAAATATTCATCACTCGTAATAAACGCCACAAATAAAGCATGCACTCTAGGACATGAATATAAAACATGAATTAGTAGTCAACTGGTCACATGTAATTAGTGTACTCCTCAAATTAGATCCTACTTAGACGCTAAGCTCGTGACTAGATCTAATTCTATGATTACAATCAACTTATTAATCAAGAGTTTAGTAACGTAGTATTCTATATAGTAAACTTAAACTTTCCTTAATCACTAAGGTTATAGAAGTTAATTATATCTTAATACTTCATCAATACTTTATTCTTTAAAATAATACAAGTCAACTAACTATCCAACCTAGCTACGAACAAACTGAGTTAAGCCTATAAATTTATCCATCTATAATCTTAGGAGCATCCAACTTAGCTCATTTGTTTGCTTTGTTTTTCGGTTTTACAAGAGTTAACTAAAATCTCTAGCTCTTCTTCTTCTAAATTTCTAATTTATTTCCAAACATGAATCCCCAATAATTAAAAAAAAAAAAAAAAAATCCCAATTTCTCTAGCTTTTTATATGTTATTGTTAAAATCATCCCTTTTAAGAAAAAAACAAGCATTCAATCTAATAGTATAAAATCCAATTGAATCTTGGGCATCAATCACTCACTCAAACTTTTGGTTGCGTTAGTCCTTTAGACACACACAATCAATTCAACGCAAGTAGAACGTACTTGAATTCCAGTATGTTCAGACGTAATTACCAGGAAGAGTGTAAAAAATGGGAGGTGTGGAAGAAGAAAACTGATCGTGAGATGCAGAAGTTGAAATGGGATTTAGGGGAGACAGAGCGTAAAAAGCAGGAAGAGTTGAAGAAGTGTCAAGAGTATTGGATTCAAAAGTATAACACTTTGTTGATGGAGGCAGAGCAGAAAAGGCAAAGAGAGTGGAGTAAGAATCAATTAGAGATGGCTAAAACTAACAAGTTGTTGGAGTTTGAGCGTAAGAAATTCGAAGACTCGAAAAAGGAAAGATTTGAGATAGCAAAATTTAAAAATATAATGTGTGAGGCAGAGGCTAAGAATAAAGAAGAATTGAAGAAGAAACAAGAATTGATAGAAAAATTAAACAACATGTTAGGAGAGGTAGAAAGTAACAAGCGGGGAGAGTTGAAGAAGAAACAAGATGAGGTAGAAAAGTTGAAGAAGACGTTAGGGGATACAGAGCGCAAAGCGAATGAAGAGTTGAAGAGGAAACAAGATGAGGTAGAAAGAATGAATAAGATGTTAGGGGAGGTAGAGCATAAAAAGTGGGAGGAACTGAAGAAAAAACAGGATGATAAAGAAAAAATGAAAAGAGATGTAATTGAGGTAGAATCTACATTACGAGGAAAGTTGATGGAGAAACAAGTTGAGATCGATATATTGAAAAGGGAGAAGGGGGAGATAGCTCGTAAAAATATAGAAATGTTGAAGAAGAAACAAGATGAGATTGACAAGTTGGAGGATGAGTCGACTGTAGAAAAATTTAAGGAGTTGAAGAAGACATATGATGAAAAGATTGTTGAATTGAAACAGAAGTATAAAGAGTTAGTTGTATTGATGAAAAAAGAGCGGGAAAAATTGAGCACTAAACAAGACGAGTTAGAGGTTAAAAAAAAAGAGAACAAGGATCTAGAGGAAGAGCTCAAAATATATGTATTTAACAGAAGTGTGGGTTGCACTATGGAATTCTATTACAATATGGCAAAAAATATGCAAACCGATTTACCTCGTTGAAAAATTACATTCTTCAATATGAAAGCAAATGCAAGTATCTGGCCACCATCACTCGATCTAAGTATGTCAATCATACCGTTGAGTCCGGTGGAGTCAGTTGAGTCACTTCCAAATTTCTGGTTTAATTGTATTCCATCACACAATCCTGAAGACTTCGATCGAGACAATTGGCGAGTACTTCGTTGCGCAATCCCATCTATAGACGGCATCATGAATGTCAAAAGATGTGTCATAGCTTATTACGATGGTAGTAACAGTAATCAAACCGAAGTCAAGAATGGAATCGATAGGATTGTCATACCTATTCCATGTTTTCCTCAACACATTTCTAACTATCACCCTCTTAAAGTGCACAATATCGTGGGAGTCGGCACTCGTTTATCAGTCTATTTGAGTGATAATGAGTAAGTCAATCTTGGGTGAATTGAAGATGGCAATGTTGGTAAGCTTGTTAATATTCCAGCATTTCATGGAATTGGTGGCTAATTACATAGTTAGGAGCACGTGTCATTTCATTGATGAATTCATGTATTGTTTCAGTCTATTGAATTCATGATAATTGGACGTACTATGTTGTAACTCTTGTAAACACAGAGCAAATTGTTTTTTTATTTTTATTTTTTATTTTTTTCATTATGAAGAGTAATATCATTAATAAAGAGTCATACTGCATCTTCAATAATAATAATATTTGTAAACCACATATCCTAAGAAAATAACATAACTTTTACAATCAAAATCATAACTATTTTGCATATCCGGCATAGCTCACATTATACCGCTTCAAACTTGACGCGAGCAGTGATTTTCGATGTCTTTGCATATTTTCAAGTAGAGAATAAGAGAATTAAATCGAAGAAAAAAGGGTAAGAAATAGTCTAAATTCCAAAGAAAGTAGACTATTTCCGGCCTAAATGGCCAAGAAAGTTAAAAACCCTAAAGATCTAGAGGAAAGAAAAGAGAAAAGAGAAAAGAGAGAAGAGGTAAGCGGCTATCAAAAAAATTTTTAGCTAATAAATTTAATTCAAAAAAGTTGTAGGATATCATATATAAGAAAGTTGTAGGCTATTAAAAGGCTTTCGATGGGACAATGGAAGAGGAGACTGCGCCTAGGCCATTGATCGGTGAGGAGGTTTATGCTCGAGTTAAGGGTATACGAACGGTGTTTGGAAAATCAGAAAAAAGGAGGGTCTCAACTGCTCTCTTTAAAAAAGAATCAATCTTTTGGAAACTTCCGTACTGGAAAGAACATGACATTAGGAATTGCCTTGATGTGATGCATATAGAGAAGAATGTGTGTGATGCACTTGTGGGAACGTTGATGAATATTCAAGGCAAAAAAAGGATGGAAAGTGTGCATGGTTAGATTTGCAAGAGATGGGGGTTCGTCCAGAATTATGGCCTCAGGATAAGGTTAGAAAGGGAAAGGAACCAGAAAAGGAAAATGTAAATTTTTTGAAAACAAGAAAGGGGAAGAGCAAGGAAAAGGGAAAAGCCACGCATACGTCAAAGAAGAAAGATGAGGGTAAAGGCAAGGATGAAAAAAATTATTTACCACTGGCTTGCTAGACATTGTCTGAAAGAATTAGGTCTTCGATAAGTGCAATTACTAGATATATCAAGGATCACTATTATGGAGATAATAAGTTCATTCTTTTGGATCGTCATTGTATAGTGCTAGATATGACAAATGATCTTTGGGCTAGTTAAATAGTCCAAAGCCCAATAGAGTGGATCCTATGAGGTCACACAACAAGAATATTGGGTCAAACAAGTAATAGGCCCATTAATGGGCTTTATGAGGATATGACAAGCCATGTAAGGAGTAGGGTTAGTGTAGTTTGAATTGGGTTAAGCGTTTAGTTTGGGCTTCACATGGACTCTAATTATATATATGATATGAAAATAGAGGTCATGCCTAGGGTTGATATATAGGTCATAATTTATCCATAAAGTAAATTGCTTGTGAAGCAAGCAACCAAACACCCTGACCCCTCTCTTTCACACGCCTCTCTCTTTCTCCCCTTTGTCTGTACAGTACGGACCACCCAAGTAAGGTGGTTGCTCACTGTGGTACTAGTGGTGGTTCGTGGCTCATTCATTCCAGTCTTCTCCGTTGAAGGTTGATTGAAGCGTTCAATCACGACTAATTACCATTAGTGGAGGTTTAATCTGTGCCCGTGGACCAAGTAGAGGAATCTTGTTTGGAGTTCTTTATTCCCATTGTTTTTGCTCGACCGCACGTGAAATCGCGCTTCAAAGGTACAATTATTATATGTTCTTTATGTGTTATGCAATGATCTTGGTTATTAGATACTTATGAATATGATACATGAAATTCCAATTAGAGTATTTAAAGTCCAACAGTGGTACCAGTTAGCCTATGCATGTACACATATTGAATTATTAACTCTTTGAATGTCCACAATTTTAATTCAATTAGGAGGGAGAATAATTTAATTATGGGTCAATTATTATTTTAAATGTGATTTAACATATGAAATTATTAAAAGTTGTTTAATTTGCTCAAAATTAGCCATCAAAAGATCCAAAATTTTTCCCTAAAAACATGAAAAATTCGAACCCCTATACCCTAATTTTCAAACATTTCTAAACTCTAAACCCTAAATTGTGATTTTTGTTTTTTGGTTTTGAATTCATTCAATTTCTATGTGATTTATGATTTTAATCTAGTTGATTTCATGTTAAGTTATGAATTTTTCATGATCAAATTATTTAATTTAATTAAGAGTTAAATTGAATTGGAGATTAATTTCATGAAAACCCTAATTTCAAGATTAAATACGATTTAATATTGAAATTAAATGGACCACATTAAAATTAATTTAATTTTAACAAAAGGTTTGTTTTATTTTAAATTAAAATAAAAAACGGCTATTTTTGGGTACGGCAACCGCGGCTGGGTGGCGTAGCCATGACAACTACCGCACTAGGTGGTCTAGGAGGGTGGGAGGGGCAAGGCTGGAGGCTCGGACAATAGGAGCAGCCACAGCAGTGCCGCGCAAGGAAGGCGTGTACTACTGATGCCCTTGCGTCGTTGCTGTGCAGCGTACACCGTAAGGTTTACGGCAACCGTGGCTGGCTTCGGCTGGCCGCACCACGGTGGTTGACGCAGTTTTTTTTTTAAAAAAAATTATTTTAGTTTGATAAAATCAGATTTCAAAATTTAAAATAAAAAGGATAAGTTTTTATTTTGAAAAGATAATTATCAAAATTAAAGTTGTTAATTGTGTTAAGTTTGGATAATTATTGAGCAAAAAGATTATATCTTGTCCTTCCGGATAAGTGCGCTTTTAGTGTATAGGCTTTTTCCTATGCTGCTTAATGAAATATAAGGTAAGATTTATTCGTCATTCTTATTATGTCCAAAAGTATTTCTCTATATCCGAGTCTCACAGTCAATAAATAGATGATTTCTAAAATCCATCCGAGCACGACCATGCATTTTCACAGTCTCGCTCTTTGAGAGGCGGCCTTGTAAACAACAAGGACATCTTCCCTATTTTTAGCACGCGGACATTCCTTGTCTTATAATGTAACTTCTCTTACTGAGAGGACCTAGCCACCCGAGTGTTGCTGTTATAATCACCTTTTACGGCAGACGTTTGACTAACATCAAAACGGACTAGTACTCAAACAAGAGAACTCACAATACTCATGGTCGAGGAAATAGGTTCCGATAGCTATAACGAGAACTATACTTCTGACGATTTTTAAATCTCTTAAATTATTCTCATAGGTCGATCCAGTATGGTTCTAAACACTACAAAAATTCGTTCGAATTGCGACCGTTTTTTTTTACGACTGTCATGAAAACGTTCTCAAAAATTGATATTTGCGACTGTTTTTAAAGCGGTCGCAAATTTGCGACCGTATTTGGGCTATAAAACGGTCACAAAGGTATTTAAATATATTTTTAAAATAAAATTCATGTGAAAAATTATTCAAAATTAAATTAATTCTGTTACGACGTTAGTAGTGGTCGCAATATGCGTTAATTACGACCGTTTGAGAAACGGTCGCAAAATTACGACTGCCATACTGGTCGCAAAACGCGTAAATAACGATCGTATGAGAAACGGTCGCAAAATTACGACCGCCATACCGGTCGCAAAAGTGTTTTTTTAAATAAAAAAAAGGGTATAAAAGGAGATCACCCAAACCCTAGTATTAGAAGCAGCCGTCTCACGCATCCTCTATGCTCTCTATCTCTCATCACACAACCTCTTCTCCTCTCTCTTTTCTCACACCCTTCTTATTTCTCTCTCTTCGCTTTCCTCTTTCCACCTCCCAGTGAACGACCCTCATCATCTCATGCATCCTCTTCTCTTCATCTTTTTCTCTTTCTCTCGCATCTCCTCTCTTCACTAACCCGAAATAGAACAACCACCGTCACAAGCAAAGCCCACTGTTAAAAGCAACACACGAAGTTTGGTGTTTATGGTCAAATTCGACCTTAAAAATTCCAAATCTGGAGTTTCTTGGTCGAATTTGACCATATTAACCTAAAGAGGAAGATAGATTATGAAAGGTATGTTTATTTTTCTAAAAATTTTGTTTATTTTCTAATTTTGTGGTTGAATTTCGTTTTCCGTTCGAATTTTCATGTTTGTTTGATTTTGTTATCGATTTTTGTTTGCGTTTCTGTTCGAATTCCTTTGATTTTGGTTTTATTTCTAGTTTTTGTTAATTTTGTTCGAATTTATTTTTTATTTGTTCGAATTTCATAGATTTTTGGTTTGATTTTGTGTTCAAAGTTGTCGAATTTAGGTTCAAATTTGTGGGTTTAATTGTTGAATTTAGGTTCGATTTATGAGGGTTTTATTTCGTTTTTGTTTGATTTTTTTGTAGAATTTTTTGTTCGAATTTGTGGGTTTAACTGTTGTGGGTTTTTTTTGGGTATAATTATTGGGTTGAATTTTTGGGCGATTTTTTTTATTTAATTCTTGTTCGTTTTTTGGTTTAATTTTTGAGCATTTTATTTGTGGGTTAAACTGTTTTGATAAATTTGGATTTTTGTTCGAAATTGTTTGATTGTTTGATGATGTAGGTGATTTTTTTTTTACTGTTTTTCTGGGTGGGTGGGTGGTGGTTGGTATTGGTGGTTGAAGGTGGGCGAAGGAAATTGTGGGTAGAGGGCGGCAGAGGCGGCTAGTGGTTGTTTAGGGTGGGCAGTGGTGGTGGTTTGGGTGGGATCTGGTTTGGGTGGATCTAGGTTAAGGGTGGGTGGGTTGGTCTTTTTTATTTTTTATTTTTTTTTTGTTTTTTTAATACTTTTAGCGACGGTTTATGACGGTCGCTAATTTCAATATTTTCGACCGTTTCATAAGGCGGTCGCAATTTTTAATATTTGCGACCGTTTTTTTAACGGTCGTTGAAAATAGTTAAAACGACCGTTAATTAAAAATCTGCGACCGTCAAATGGTCGTAATATTTTTTTTTGCGACCAAGATAATAACGAGCGCGATGTTGCGACCGTTGATGGTCGCAATTATGTTTTACGACCGTTTTCACTATTTTTTGCGATCGTTTGAGCCGGTCGCAATTTGGCCAATTTTTAGTAGTGAATCCAATACCACACTAGGTGAAAAAAGTGCTTTGGCAGCGGTTCAAACTCGGTCTAAGGCACCGGTTTGAACCGCTGCCTATGTGGGGGTGCCAAATACCCCCTTTTTAGCACCGGTTCAAAACCGGTGCCATATACCCAATTAGGCATCGGTTAACCGGGGCAAAAAATGAACCAAAATATTAA